TCACCAAATGCTTCAACTGGGTCAGCCGGTCTTCAGACATCTCTTCGTGAGAATACTTGCAGCCAAATCGCACACGACATCTCCCTTTGAGATAGTAGTCGAAACAGCAATGGTGGAACCCCGCGTCCCTTAGTGCCTTCCTGGAAGCATTGTCCCAAGATTTGCCAGGCTCCCAAGTCCCTTCCAATGCCATGTCATCGTCGTGGAGATACCTGCACGCAGTCCCATATTTACAACCACCTTGATTGTAATACAGACACAGCCGTTTCTTCGTTTCACCCAGCGTAGGCTCACCTTTTGATGTCCCTTTGCCATAGTTGTACTGGGCACGGAAGGCCGAATCCTCCCGCTCCTGCTGCACCTCATCCACTGTACCTTCATCAGTTGGAGGGCCACCGATGTCCCCATCCTCGTCACCAGTTTTTTGGCTGTTCTTTGGCTCAGTTGGCTCTCCTTCAGGCCACCCTTCACCATAACGACGATGTTCATAGGAACACCCATCTCCATTTCGACACCTCCCTTGATTGAAGAACTTGCACAGCTTGCTGTATCCAGGTGTCACAGTCTTCGGAGTCGTGTGAGCCTTTTTGTACTGATCAGGATCCATGTAGGCTTCCATTGGCCTGTTTTCCCTCTTACTCATCTCCTCGATTGCACCATCAAGCTCTTGCAGAAATCGCTTGGTATCCAACCACAGCTCGTTCCAAAGCTCATCTTTCCCTTTGCTCAGCAACATTGCCACCGTTTCACCCACGACTGGTCCACTAAATCTTCTTTTCTTGCGTGCCAGTTCGTAGAGCGCGTTGTGGTACTGCTTCCGGGAAAAAGTGGTTGTTTTTTCCGAACCTGCACTGTCTGTCTCCTCAGGCTTCCAACCATCACTTAGCAAGATGTTGTATGCGCTCCGAGCCTCAACGTTCAGGAATGTATGATCTGCGATACACTCCATAATCACGTCCATTGGACGACTCAGCAACATCCCCGTGATTTTGCCCACATAGTCATTATCTATTGTTTCATCTTCCAGGGGATTTCGATAGATCTTTTCTCCATAGAGCTGTTTCTGCTCAGCCTCCTCTTGTTCCTTAGAGGATGCTTTTGACTCGGCAAACCACTCGCGAGACTGCTGTTCTTCCGACTTCCAGTCGCATTGACCATCGGAACCTTTGTACCATTGACCAGTCTGCCATGAGCCTGTCCACCATGTACCCCAGCCGCTGTCTTTCCATTTGCGCAGCGTTGAAGAGGAATCCTCCTCGTCCTCTTCCAAAACCAGAAAGGTGTCCAAGATTATGGTACCGTCATCTTCCACTCGTTTCACTGTTCCATTGACAGTATCACCAAATTTGAACTGATGTACATTGTTCCCTTCTGCAGGAACCAATACATTCATATCACCATGGTCCAAAAAGGCTCCATACCCATTGATGCAGCGCACTAGACCAATGATCTCATCTCCCTCCTGATAGCAATGTTCCCCAGGTGATTCCAAAGCTCCCGCTCGGGGCACTCTCTTTGCATGCCCTTCAGAAACCATCTCTGTATCATCGGCTCCTGGCACATCCTTTATTTCCACCTTTGGGTCACACTGCTCGTCCTGCTCCGACGTGAGTCCCACAAGATCATCCATCTTGTGCTCCAAGGGCTCAGGATCTTCCTTTTTTCCAGCCAATGGCTTTGCCTCATCCGTTACAGTTCGCTCGGTGTCGACTTCCGGCGAGCTTTCAGATGGCAACACCTCTCCCTTCCTGGGAGTGGACCCACCATTGGAGTCCTTTTTCAAACCTTCTGCAGCAGGCAAATTTTCTTCCACTACAGGGCTATTGGATTGGTCATCCGCGGTAGGCACATTTTCTTCCACCGCAGGCTCCTTTGGCTCCATGGTTTCCAAAAGAGAATCACCACTGTTGCTGACCACAGCTGCCTCATTGGCTCCGGTGTAGCCTTCGCCATTTCGTTCCTCGCTGCTAACTTCAGGCTGCACCAGTGCGTCCACCTGTGAACCTCCATCGTCAGCTGCTACAGAGACCTGCGCCCCATTGTTGCAGTCATCCGCGGAACGTGACACCATATGCGCCTCAACCCGTGCTTTTTCTGCACTCCAGGTACTATCTGGCGCGTTGACCCGCGCTTCATTGGCGCTCCAGGCCTCATCTTTCCGATCACCCGTGTCTCCAGCAGTTTCAGAAGTTTCCTTTTCCCTTTGAATGGCAGAATTCTCGGCACCAAACGAAGAGACCTCCTCAGTCGTAATGCACAACTTTTTCCCTTCGTCATCCAAATCTCCAGGGCCATCTTCCTGAACGACAGGCACCACATCCACCACTCGCTCTTCTGCAGCCGACACAATTCCGATCTCCACATTGGGCATTTTTTCTTCTGGACCCACCGATTCCACCGCTGCCACACCCTCAGAAAGCGCCTCCATCTCTTCCCGATCCAGATGTTGAGCTTCAGCGATGTCTGCTCGGTTTCCAGAAATCCCCTCTTCATCAGGAGAACCCGAGGTCGGGGCGTCACCACCAGCCCTAGGACCGCTATCCCTGATAGTAGAGGAAAAATCTTTTTCACCTACACTATTTACACTACCCTGGATTGCCTTCGTAGACTCAGGTGTCGGTGTAGTCGATGAAGGACCCAGTTCAGTCTCCACTTCCAGCCCATTGCCCGAAGGAGACCCAACCACATTGTCGCTTTTCACCTTTTCCCCTACATCCGGCAGCGTCCACTTGCTTTCCTGCGTATCCAGGCAGTAGTAATATTGTCTCCCATCTTCGTGGAAGTGCCATTCCCACGTTGTCCCATCGCACGCTTCGATCAGATGCTCATCTTTCCGAAAACCATCCCTTTCAGAGACTTGACGCATCTCATCCTCTTCTTCTGACAACTGGCGCAACCTTTCAGCCTCCATCTGTAAGATCTCCTCTTCCCCCATGGCATATTCAGCAGTTGGCGCGGCTTCAAAGCTGTCCGCGCCCTTCTGTTCGTAACCGCTTCCACCACCCAGGGAACTCGCCGAGGGATCCCCTTTAATCTTGTTCAGAGGCCTCCTGGCAGCTTGCAGCACTTCTCCACTCAGATTGGTCTGAGACCCTTGGTCTATCATTCGGCCCGAAGTCGAAGTAGACGGCTGATACCCATGTTTGTGCAACACGCGTAAAACAGTCACCTCCATTTCACGGTCTATACCACCAGTCGCGTCCCAGCTCCTTTTTTCACCAGGCTTTGGCGATACAGAAACAGCACGTCCTTCAGCTTCAGCATTGCTAACCATATCCACATTGGGATTTATACCCACATTGGAGTATTCTGCAACCAAGGCTTCTTCCAGATGTTCTTCAGCGCCAGGCATCACCTCTTCCAGCACCGTCCTTTCACCCAGAGACTCAGCTGCACCGTTTCCAGCTCCACCATTCTGTCCACCATCCGAGGAAGGCTGGAGCCATCGTTTGGGAGAAGGCATTGCTTCTTGATCCCAAAAACCTTGAAAGAACACTTAACCGCAGGGAACCTAATTTGGGCTCATAACCTACGGGGGGACAACCAAGGAAGGAAATCAACTCCCCTAATCGCCCTGAACCTATATTCCCCAGATCGAACCAAGAAACAAACGAGAACACGGATAAGAGCAACCCAGGGGGGAAGGAAAGGGGGAAGGAATCCACACCCTTACCAAACCCTAAGAACCCAGGCACTACTTTTTGAACTTGTGGCTTTCTGTTCAAGCCCATCTTGAGCCAAACATGTTTTCCGGGTTCATTAACCCTTCCAACTCTCAACACTAACTCTTTTCTACAATACCAGTTGCAGCTCCGCACCCTAAACCCTGTAAACTCTTCAGGTCAACTGTGGGCCCGCGCCGATCCCTGAGACCTTTTGGCCAGTCTGGCAGATCTCGGGCCCGTATCGGAGCACTTCCCGAAGGGAAGCCTCGCAAGTGGAGGCCCGCGAACCTGGTTCAGGGGGAGGTTTAGACTTCAGGGCTAGGGTTTAGGGTATAAGGTTAAGGGTCTCGGGTTTAGGGTTTAGGGTTTAGGGTTTAGGGTTTAGGGTTTAGGGTTTAGGGTTTAGGATTTAGGGAGCAGGAGCTGCCTTGGAGAGGTTTTTTGGGTTTAGGGTTTAGGGTTTAAGGTTCAGCATCTCAAGTCCAAGCATTCACTAGTCAAGAAATTATTCCAGAAAAGTACCCAAGAATCCCATAACATTAAGAAACTATTTCACGTATAGAACGACCTTGCCCAGCCCATTAAAAAATAGGCTTGCCCAGCAACAAAAATGACCTTGCCCAGTAAAAGAGTTACTGGGCAAGGTCATTTTTTGGGCCGAACGGCCTTGCCCAGTAAAATATCACCTTGCCCAGCAAAAAAATGACCTTACCCAGTAACAAATGACCTTGTCCATTAACGAAATGACCTTGCCCAGTAAAGAATGTTACCTTGCCCAGTAAACGAGTTACTGGGCAAGGTCATTTTTTTTACTGGGCAAGGTCGTTTTTTGGACCGAACGACCTTGCCCAGCAAAAAACGACCTTGCCAGTAAAAAATGACCTTGCCCAGTAAGAAAGTGACCTTGCCCAGTAAGAAAGTGACCTTGCCCAGTAACTCCCCAACATTCAAATTATACATGAAAGAGAGGTTTAGGGTTTAGGGTCCGAAAACCCATTAGGGTCCGAAAACCCAAAACCCTAAATCCCTAGAACCGCAGGTTTGGTCTAGGGTTGGAACCATGGGCCCTTAGTGTGGCCCCTTACCCTTGTTTATAGGGATCCGGAGTAGGCCCTTATTCAAGTACAGTGATACATATCCCATAGGCTGCGTTTATTCGGGCCCTTAAGCCACTTGGGCCCCCAGCCTTCAAGTGTTTAGACCCTAAACCCTACACCCTAAACCCCAAACCCCAAACCCTAAACCCTAAACCCTGAACCCTAAACCCTCAAAACCCCAAACCCTTAAAGCCCTAAACTCACTAAGTAAGGGGCTGGGCGGAGCCAGGGCGGCGACATGCTGCGGCTGCTGGTGGCGCTGTTGGCTGCGGCGCAGGCCTCCTGAGTCTCTAAAGAGGTGGAAACCTTAAACCCTTCCCCTAAACCCTAAACCCTAAACCCTAAGCCCTAAACCCTAAACCCTAAACCCTAAGCCCTAAACCCTAAACCCTAAGCCCTCTAAACCCTAAGCCCTAAACCCTAAGCCCTAAACCCTAAACCCTAAACCCGAAATCCTTGTTCTGAGGGAGGGGATGGTCTCTCCAAAATGTATCCAAGCCTTTGCACACCTCAGCGAATGATGCCTAGTTGTGGAGCTTTCAAGACATTTCAAGACTGCGAAGGCCGAGCTCCACGCAGATCAGCTGGGCCCCTCCGTGCAGGACGTGCAGAAGAACGCGCACAACACGACGCACAACACTTCGCACAACACTTCGCACAAGATCTCCGACTCGGACGGTCACAACGCCACGCATCACGCGCTTTTCAAGGCTTTCGACAAGGCATCCGATCTGGCTTCGGACAAGACTTCACATGAGTCGAAGGAGGTAGCAAAAGAGGCGGAGCTGGCAGTAGAGACGGTGGCGGACGCCGCAGCGGAGGTGGCTCAGGAGACGGCGGCAGAGACCGCCAACGAGGCGCAGAACGAGGTCGCATCGGAGGCCACGAAGACGCAGGAGGTGGCTGAGGAAAAGGAGCGGGCTCTCAGCAAAGCGGCCCTGCGCCGGGAGAGGCAGAAGCACCGCCAGCACCAGGAGCACCAGCAGGTTCCTTGTGGACGAAGTGAACCCTAGAAGGATTTATGGCTCATATACCTCAAGAGGAATTATAGTCCCTAAAAGGGTTTATGGCTCATATTGCCTTCATAATAGGAATTAGAGTAGTCCAGCGTATGTGACCCCAATGTTAGGGCTCCTTTGGTCCCCAAGGTTCTTGAAGAACGCCGGGCCATACGGGCGCGGAGGATGGCGGAGCGGGAGGAGAGGCGTCAGATGCAGATCCCAATCAAGGACAGCATCATAAAGCTGACGCCTTGCCTGCACCGAAACTTTTTCACCTCTATTCTCACACAGGTGTGATTCAGGGCGTAGGACGGTAGGACCTACAGTGACCTACAGGCGGGCCTAAGCCTAAGCTTGCTTGAGGGTTTGGAGATGTTTGGGGAGGGCGCATAAAGATTTTTCAGGATGCCAAGAGCTGCAAACTCAACGTAGCAACCAGCCCAGGGATCCTCGACTGGCGGGCGTGAAGATCAACCGGCTGATCGACGGCTTCCTCTCTGCCCAACCCGTGGCCGTCAACTCCGACATCTCGCAGAAGCGCCCGCTGGTCTTCATGCATCAGGCGAGCCCCATCTGCCCCCAACCTCTGCCATCGTTTTCTGCAGCTCTGGCCGCCAGTTGCCCCGAAGCCCGAACAATGTTAATGACAAGTTCAAAGGTCTGAAGCCACTGAAATCTGCAAGCTGCCAGTTGCTGTTTCGAAATTGTTTTCCAACGACCTCCTGCCCCCGAGATTTTTCCCAAAGTGGGGGGGGGGGGGGGGTCTCTTCTTGTGGTTCCAGTGTGTGTGGCATGTTGGGGTAGACAAGGGGCATCCCCATTTCATGAGACACCGTCTGACCATCTGACCAGGCCAAATCCGGTGGCACTTCCCTCAGGCAGTCGTTGCACCAGGCTGCACATAATCTCGGGCTGAAAACCTACATCCCCTGCCACGATGTCGACTGCCAGGAGAGCCCCCCAGGGGCTTAGAGGTAGTTTGGGTCTTATTTTGGTTGCAAAGATGTTCTGACTCGGCATCCTTCCGTCAGGAGTACAACACCGTGGGCCACAAAGCTGCCATCTACGGCGGGCACTTCTGCTGGACCTCTTTGGCCAAAGACTTCGCAGCCCGTGGCGTAAACGACTTCTCCTGTGCCGCTTGACCGCTTCAAGCTTACGGGTGGAGCCTTGAAACGGAAGGGTAACTCCAGTGAACATCTACTGGTACTGTATTCTGTTAGAATCTGATGTGAGATTGACACCAAATGAACCCTTCAATCTACCGGACCGCAGCTTCAAAAGCGCCCAGAGAGCCATAAGGGAGGCAGGCGGGGGAGGCAGGCGGGACGAGCGTCTTCAAAGCTAATCCCCTCCACCCAACAAAACCCCCCCCCCCACCACCCAATATTAAATACCCCCTCAGTGTTATATCGCAGTCTAGGGGGGGTAGGTAATAGGGGGGTAGAGGGGTTAGATAGTAGGGCCGGGGCGAAAGGATTTTCCGATCCACGCTCCCAGCGTGTGTCGTGTGATGGCCCCTCGATGGGAAGAACAGATGACAGCCTGAAGCAAAGCATCGACAAGGGGTGGGGGGGGGGTTCCCGGAACCCTAAACCCGAAACCCTAAACCCTAAACCCTAAACCCTGAACCCTGAACCCTAAACCCTGAACCCTGAACCCTAAACCCTCAACCCTACACCCTAAACCCTAAACCCTAAACCCTGAACCCTAAACCCTAAACCCCCCAGCCTCCAGCAAATAGATTCCAATACGCCAGGCCGGAGCCTGGGATGTCCTGAACCATGCGACGCCAGCATAAACCACACTAAGCCCTTGAGGGATTGGGGCTTTTGAGGTTTAGGGTTTAGGGTTTAGGGTGACTCCGACTTCTCGAGGTGACTATCTTCAGGGACCCGGTGCCCCGGGTCCTGTCCTGCTACTCCTACCGCCTTGTGGGGAAGCTGGGTTCCGCCCCCACTTGTGTGGCCGACGTGCCCCCGGAGCGGAGGGGGGGGGGGTTAGGGTTTAGGGTTTAGGGTTTAGGGTTTAGGGTTTAGGGCTTAGGATTTGGGGTTTGGGGTCATTGGATTGGCTTGTGGCGTGAAACTAAACCGTTTCATTCGCGCTTTGAGTGCTTTTCATCCGTCCTCTTCTCAGTCATCCTGCTAAGCGTCGTAAGCGAAGCAGTTCCACGAAGCCCTTCACGTCACAGACTTACGAGCAGACAAGCCTTCTTGCCATGTGCTTGCAGACATGTAAGGGCCGTTTCTTGAAGAGAGAAACCGCATCGAAAGGCCACATGTGACTTTGGGTACGGGGTTGCATCTCCGCCCGGAGGCAAACAACCCTGAACCCCTTGCCGCACCGACCTTTCATTCGATTTCTAAGCCCTGAACCCGGAACCCTAAACCCTAAACCTTAACTGAGAGGAGAAGCTGAAGAGCGAGCTCGTGGGCCACGCCTGTGTCGACGAGCCCTTCCGGAGGTGCCACGGGCTGGTGAGTCCTTTCCGGGTATACGGTTCGGGGTCTCAGGTCTTAGAGTCTTAGGGTTTATAAATAGGGTCTCGGGGCTAGGTCTTAGAGTCTTAGGGGTTGGGGTCTCAGGCTCTTAGGGTTTGGGGTCTGAGGGTCTTAGGGTTTAGGGTCTTGGGGTTTTAGGGTCTAGGGTTTAGGATCTTGGGTTTGGGTTTTTTGGGTTTCGGGTTCCGTGCGGTTTGCGATCTTATTGCCTCCAAAAACGTGCTGGCGGTAGCATGGAGAACGACAAGCGCAGTCTGATGAAGCCAAGCGGTCATCTCTGCAGCAATTGCCTGTCAGGATCGGAGACTGCAACGCAGCAGGTGAAATCGAGCACTTTCACACGAATCAGGCTCCGATTTCTCTAACCCTGAACCCTAACCCTAATGGTCCTGTAGCTTGTTGGGCATCTGCGGCCATGAGAATGGGCAGCTCTCTAAATTGAATAGGTTTTTTGTTTTTTTACAAACAAGGTGCCGTATTATTTGGGGGACCCAAAAAGGGACCCGACATTTAGAGAGCCACCCTAAACCCTAAACCCTAAACCCTAAACCCTAAACCCTAAACCCTAAACCCTAAACCCTAAACCCCCTAAACCCTAAACCCTCGATGCAGGAGCGCGTGCAAGGCTGGAGCCTAACCTTGGGGCACCTGTCGAAGTGCGTTCCCTTGATCATCGAGGAGCCTGAGTCGTACAAGGCAGGGTTGAGGGTTGAGGGTTGAGGGTTGAGGGTTGAGGGTTGAGGGTTGAGGGTTTAGGGTTTAGGGTTTAGGGTTAAGGGTTTAGGGTTGTGCAACAGGGTTTTGGGTTTAGGGTTTAGGGTTTCAGTTTAGGGTTTAGGGTTTAGGGTTTAGGGTTCAGGGTTTAGGGTTCAGGACTACGTGCCGCACACCTGAAGCCCAAACACAAGGTTGCTGCCGCCGCATTCCCGCAACTGGCACGCGCTTTCCTCGACCTGGGGGAGGTCAAGCTGAACGCGAATCTCGGTCGAGGTTTTAGACCCTAAACCCTAAACCCTAGACCCCAAACCCTAAACCGCATTTGGGTTTGCAGGGTGTCTAGGGTGTTTAGGGCTTTGCGGGCTTTCAGGCTTCTAGGGCATCTTGTAGGGTTTAGGGTGTAGGTTTCCTTCGCTCTTAGAGGGTTTAGAGAGGTTGCAGGGCTCATGGCTTGAAGAGTGCTAAGCAGGTCATAAGTAAAGCGGGGTTTAGGGTTTAGGGTTTAGGGTTTAGGGTTTAGGGTTTGGGGTTTAGGGTTTAGGGCTCGCAGCTCCAGGAACAAGCAGTACGACAGCCAGTGCCACCCAACGCCTTCGCACCTTCGGGCTGTCCGCGCGGTGACGTCGCAAGAGTCTAGGCGGGCGTGTTGAACTCGAAGCCCGAAACCCGAAACCCCAGACCCTAAACCCCAGACCCTAAACCCCAGACCCAAACCCTCCGAAGCCCTGAGCCCGTATGAGCCCAAAGCCCCATAAACCCCAAACGCTAAGCCCGGCAATTCATCGTGTTTGGGCCTCAACAGCTTCCCTCCAAGCGCCTCTCACAGTCTGCCATGCAGGATCTACAGGGCTGCCAGAAAGCGAATGTGGCAATTGCACAGGCTCCTGGTGAAGTGAGGTCTGAGCACGTAATTACCTTATGATGTGGCCCCTCTGGACCCTACTGAAATTTTTGTGCGGCCAAAGTGGCCCTGCCAAAGGCAAAAGCTGCTATTTTAAGATTCTCAGACACGGGTGCCTCGAGGCACCGAAAAAGAGAAGCAAAAGCACTGGACTGGGCTCCCGGTTTTCTGAGAGTTTATAGGGCTCCATGGAGTGAAGTTTATGGGGTAGTTGTATTAGTTCAGGGTTTACGGGTTTGGAGGTACGTACACCCGTTTTAATCTCGAACCCTGAAGCTCTCAAACCCCGAGCCCCTACAGACATCTCGAATATGTGCAGCCGCGTTGTCGTTGAACCCCTTGGTTGCTTTTGTTGGTCGTTGCTGGGTTTGTTGGCCGTCACTCATAGTCATGACATGATGTCATGGCAACCCTTGCTTAGCAGCATGATGGGCATGCCTCGGCTGTCTCTGCGTCGAATCGGTATTGGGCATCGCCACTTGGCTTACGCCCGAGCTCTCAGCCCCCAAACAGCCACTGCCTCCTTGAAGAGAGGGTGGGTTTTGCGCCATGCCGGAGTATTTGCCGCCGCCGCGGAATGGGCAGCTCAGCAGCGTGCCTCGGACCACCAGAAGCCTAAGTTGAGGATGGCGAGTTCGGCGCGAGGGCAAGAGATTCAGTGGGTCCGTGTACCCCTTGTGGTGGATAGACCACATGTGGTGGATAGCGACTAGGAGCCCAAGACAAAAGATTGCGAAAGATCCCAGCCTAAATCCCAAACTCCTAAGCCCGAAGCCTGCCACGGGGCTTACGATCGGCCCAAATTGCCATGAGAACTTGGATTGTGGCCGGGCTGTCCACTTCCTCGAACGCTTCGGATGTTTTTAATCTCACTGTGCGGTGTTCAGGGCTTGTAGGGCTTTGAACTTAGGGTGAGCTGAGGGCGTGACTGGTGCGTCAACTTGCCAAGATTTTGAGATTCCATTACATGTCGCCGCGCGCTGTTCCCCCTGGAGTAGCCTGCCGCACAGGATCGACATGGTGTCAAGCTTTGCTAGCTTTAAACCCTAAACCCTAAACCCTAAACCCTAAACCCTAAACCCTAAACCCTAAACCCTAAACCCTAAACCCTAAACCCTAAACCCTAAACCCTAAACCCTAAACCCTAAACCCTAAACCCTAAACCTATAGTTTCCTATGGATTTTGTGGAGACGTCAGGAAGTTCTCCGCTTTCACCTGAATGGCGAGCTGGTGGAAGTTATCGGGGCCGATCCACGCCAATTGCTGATCGAATTCCTGCGGGATTCGAAGGGCTTGACTGGCACGAAAAGGAGCCAACAAGTTTAGGGTTTAGGGTTTAGGGTTTAGGGTTTAGGGTTTAGGGTTTAGGGGGGGTTGCTGGGGATTTTCATGTTTGAGCTCGGTGGTTGGTGGTAGCTGTCCGAGGGTATATAGGGTGCAGGTTCCCTATACCCTACACCCTAAACCCTACACCCTAAACCCTAAACCCTAAACCCTAAACCCTAAACCCTAAACCCTAAACCCTAAACCCTAAACCCTAAACCCTGCAGGAGCTGCCTCCAGGGAGGTTGCGGCGCTTGCGTGGACTCTCGGTTGGCACTCCTGGGTGTGTAGCAAAGAGGTGTGAGGTCCCGAGAAGTTCCTATCAGCCCTCAAAGACCTAGGCCGTCTAGGGTTTAGGGTTTAGGGTTTAGGGTTTAGGGTTTAGGGTTTAGGGTTCAGGGTTCAGGGTTTAGGGTTTAGGGTTTAGGGTTTAGGGTAGCACCCCTAAGCGCATGCTAAGGTGGCTATCCAGGAGTACGACCCCGCCACGTCGCAATGGAGATATCGGTCAGTGAACAGCTGTTCCTGGCCATCCAGTGATGTTTTTGGCGTGTTTAGCCTCTCCTTCAATTGTAGTCCTTGGCGTCTCCACTGTAGTACGGCGTGACTAACACAGTTGCTCAAGGCTCGTTATTGTTCTGAGGCCTGCAAGCAGCACGTAGATAACGGCAGTCAGACGCAGCATGACTTCAGCACTACTGCAACCCCTAAAAACTCCCAACCTTCTGAGCCGCCTCTAAAGTATGTAGCGCTACTGTGATCCCGAGGGAAAAGCGAAAGGGTGGCTGATGCGGATGTTTGTCGGCCCCCCCCGCTCCCCCTCCCTCCACCCCTGCGCATCATGAGCATCAGTGGCTCCGGCCCCAGGGTCTCGGAGGGCCTTCAGTCGCCAAAACCACGGTGTTCACAGCGTTATTTGCATTTTAAGAGGCCCCAATTGCTTCCGAGGCAGCCGCCAAAAGGTTGGAGTTTCGTTTTTCACAAGAATTTGAAACATATGCGGCCCATGATGCACGCTGGGTCGGCGACAACCTGGGCCACAGGCGTGATCGGATGTAGGAGCCTCCGGCTCACAGCCAGAGACCCTGGCAGCAAATGTTTTCAGGGGAGCCCGAATCCCACCCCTAAACCCTAAACCCTAAACCCTAAACCCTAAACCCTAAACCCTAAACCCCAAACCCTAAACCCTAAACCCTAAACCCCATGGTACTGAGCATACTCAGCAGGCCCATGGCCCCTGAGTTCATGCGGCTCGGGCACCGCGGCCCTTCGTGGCAAGCTCCCCTTCCCGGAAGCATCCAACAAGCCACCCCACACCCGAACCCCTAAACCCTAAACCCTAAACCCTAAACCCGAAACTCTTTCGGCCACTGAGAGAAGCCCCAGGCTTGAAGCCCCTGGTGGCCTGTCACGGCACCTCCATAACCACCGTGGAGGGCGTGGGCACGGAGAGGAAGTGCTTGCACCAAGTGCAGAAGCGAATCGCAGCCCGGCCCAAGACTGGAAGTGCCCCATGAACCCTACAGGCCCGAAATGAGCCCGAAAGGCCGTTCCGAAATCCTAAGCCCCAAACCCCTAAACCCTAAGCCCTAAACTCCCGAAAGTGCTTACAATCCTAAACCCTGAAAGCCCCAAGGCCCCCCCCACTTCCTGAGACCAAACCCTGAAAGCCCTGATAGCCTTGAAAGCCCTTTCTGAGCTCACTGCATCCTCGGTCCGAAGTCCAAACCACTAAACCCGAAAGCCCGAAGCCCTGATCCCCGAAACTTGAACCCCTGAGCAAAACCAGGCGGAGAATCATGGCATGCAGTGCGGCTTCTGCACGCCAGGGATGGCCGGGGGGTGCAGGGCTCTCTGTTGGGTTTGTCGGTTTTTAGGGTTTTGGGTTTTTGGGTTTAGGGTTCAGCGTTTAGGAAGTGCAGAGTTGAGAGCCTATAGAGTTGAAGATGGGCTGCCAAACCTACAATCTAAAAGCGCGACAGGGGCTGGATGTTGTCCCTATACGCACAGTCCTGGTCGGGGGTACTATAACCCAAAATAAGGACTGTCAGTACAAGGGCTACAAGGGGGAACATCCCAACCTATAGACCCCTAGACCGACACCCCGCAGGTCATGAACACCTACGCGCTCCTGCGCGCTGGCGGCAAGCCCACGGCAGAGGATCGGGGGCCCCAAAAACCACATAAACATAAGGATCCTACTAGAAAGGTTTAGGGTTGAGGGTTGAGGGTTTAGGGTTTTTTGGGAATCCCCCTTATTAGGGGCCCTTATACTCCAATGGTAGGATCCTTGTGTTTATGTGGTTTTTCTTGGGCCCCTAGAGGAGTCGATGCAAAACTACGATGGCAATATCTGCCGCTGCACGGGCTACCGGAACCTGGTCCAGGCGAGGGCTTTAGGGCTTTAGGGGTTTAGGGGTTTGTTTTTTTTCAGCTTCAAGGGTTTGGGTTGAGGGATTTAGGGTTTAGGTTGTTTAAGGGTTCAGGTTTTTAGGTTTAGGGCTTAGGGTTTAGGGTGCCCGAGGCGTCTCAGGGTTGAGGGTTGAGAGTCTAGGGCGCCCGGGTTGGGCGGTGTTTGGGCATTGGGGCGCTGAGCCCGAGCCCTCGACCCCCAAAACCTTATCTAGGACCCAGAGTAGGAACTTATTCCCTCTTTTTCGGGTTTAGGCTCCCTTAGACGGCAACCTGTTTATTCTAAGGCCCTCGGTTAGTCTTGACCCTAAACCCTAAACCCTAAACCCTAAACCCTGCTCTTGTTTGCCAGGCTTCGGAATCCTTTGCTTCGGATGCATCTCCGGAAGCAGAGGCACTGGCGCAGAGATGTGGGCACCACGACGCCAACCTCTGCGACAAGCTCAGTGGAATCTCGATAAGTACAGACTCCTGGGCTCCGCCATCTTTCCGGGCTTCAAACCCTCGAGAGTAAACCCTAAACCGTAAACACCCTTAACCTAAGCCCTTATCTCCAAATATTCCACGAGAGTAAGCCCTAAGCCTTACACCCTAAACCCTAAACCGTAAACCCTTTCTTTGGGCAGGGCCGCTGGCGTAGTGCATTTCCCGGTCCACCCATCCTCAGCGCCTCCCAATGGCACACCATGACCTTGGACCCTAAACCCTAAACCCTAAATCCTAAATCCTAAACCCTAAACCCTAAACCCTGAATGGCAACCCGAAGTTCCTAACCACGTGGGATGTTTGATGCAAGGAGTGGAGCACAAGGGCATGGACCGCGTTTTGAAGTCCGCGCCTGCCGTTGCAAGATGTTCTCGATCTTGGGGCCAATCTGAGGTTCGGGAATCCGGGGTTAAAGGTTTAGGGTTTAGGGGAAGGGGTGTTGGGGTTGAGGTTTTAGGATTTTAGGGGCTCAGGGAGTATCCCTGCAATGCCCCTTGCAGCGTGCGTAGTTTGCTTAGTTCGGGTGGGGACGTTCGAAGAAAAATGTTGTCGAGGAGTTTTGAGGGTTTCGGGCTTGTGGGGCTCTTAGGACCCTGAACCCTAAGCTGGTCATAGGTTTAGAGGTTGCAGGGTCGCATCCTTCTCAAGGATCGAATGCCAAACAGTGGAATCAATGGTTGGGAATGCTGCCTGAGGTGCAGTTCACCAAAGATGACTTCACATGGTATGCGCCGATGTCGCTTCAGGACACAAGCCCTTCTGAAAAGCTTGATTTGAAATCTATAGGGTTTCGGGTACCCTATAGAATCCCGCAAAGAGCTATCAGAAATAAATGAATAAATGTAAATGAAAAACAAGTACAAACAAATAACTATACGCAAAATATATATATATATATATATATATATATATTAATATATTAATATTAATATATATATATATGCATATGTGTATATATGTGTGTATATATATATAGAAATGTACATATATATATATATGTATGTGCGGGGATATAAGGTAGAGGGGCAGCTTATTGTGGGACGCTGTGAGAGTACGCAGTTGCATTCTTTCTCCCATCCCAGGAGGTGCTTCAGATCAAGCAGGAGAAGCCGCGCGCGATGTACATCGTAGGAGACACGGCAAAGGGAATTCGACAGGCGGCATACGAGGCGCCAAGTTCTTTCGAATTTCTGTCCATCGGTTACCAGTAAGGACCCCAAAGTCTACAACAGCAGAGAGAAAGCAAATACCCTAAACCCTAAACCCTAAACCCTAAACCCCAAACCCCAAACCCCAAACCCTAAACCCTCAACCCTAAACCCTACACCCTACACCCTAAACCCTAAACCCTAAACCCTAAACCATAAACCCTAGCCCTAAAGCCCTCAACCTTAGACTACTAAGCCTCTCAGATCGCAGGTGGCCAATGGAAGAGCCACGGATGTCATTGCCCTGCGCAACGCCGCTTTGGCAAGCATGGGGACAGCTACCTGTGGAGGAGGGTTTAGGGTTTCGGGTTTAGGGTTTAGGGTGAACCCCCAAAACCCTGAGCTAGCTAAACAAGAAGCCGCCTGCGTATTTCGGGTTTTGTGCATAGGGTTTAGGCTTTTGCCCGTTAGACTGACAATTGATACTTGCCATTGCATCTGCGGGCAACTGCTGAATAGATCACTCACCCCCGACCCCCCCTTACAGGTTGCAACAACCAAACCCTAAGCCCAGCCTGAATCCGAATACCCCTAAAGCCGAAAACCCTCAAACCCCTCAAACCCTGAAACACTAAGCCTTAAACCACTGCCCCCAGGTCGTGGAGCTGAACGTGCTTGAGGCCACCGGCGCAGGTGGCATTGCGGTCATGCGTCACGTACTGCTCGTTTCCGGAATTATCATGATTCTTATCTTAGCGTTGCTAACGTTATCGCTGTTGTTGCATGGCTCCGTTGTTGCATCGCCATGTCGTACCTTCTGCCATTCATGTAATACATGTCACTGCCGCACTGACAGACAGCACTTCGACTGCTGCCACCGTCACCGCCACCGTCACCGCCACCGCCACCGCCATCCCCACCCCCACCACCACCACCACCACCACCACCACCACCACCACCACCACCACCACCACCACCACCACCGCCAACCTACAATGACTACTGCGACAGCTTCCATGGCGACACGACGAACTGGATGCGATTGATGTTGATGCATTGGGAGTTCAACATGACTTGTCAGCGCCATCATATGATATGCCCGCATGCAGATGGTCGTCCCGGCCTATGCTGAAGAAACCTGGAACTCTGAAACTAAGAATGTCTTGTGTCATGAGAGCTTTACTCAGAGGTCACCCATGATGTACACCTCAGATAGGATACTCGCAAGCTCAGAATATTGGTGTTTTGCAGGCTTGACCATCGGCGGCGCGCTCACTATTCAGCACATCACGGACGCCTTGGAGAAATATCAGAAAGAGCATTCGGGACTCCAGTGGCCCACGGCAGCTTGACTGATTCCACCATGTCGAGCCACCCCAAATCGAGCCACCCCGAACCCAAAGCCTCAGTGTGCCAGACCAAGTAGTCTCCCAACATCCAGGCCTTGGCAGAGGCAGTGAAGAACGTGGCACAGCATCACCTGCGGTCTGAAGCAGGCCCCAAGTCCAAGAGAGAACACAGTGGGTTTTAGGGCTTAGCCCCCCGGTTAGGGGTTCTGGGGTCGCCCACGTCCGCGGTTCTGTTTTTGCCAGCCACACGTGATGTTTGATCGGCTCAACCACATGTGAGGAAAAAGGTAGCGCACCTTCAGACCAAGAGAGTTGCTTTGGGGCAGTTGCAGCAGGATTGTCCCCGCACGGAAGGGGTGTCTGAGTGCATGTTGACCTGAAGCCCATGCCTTCAAACCTAAACACGCCAAAAGGTTCGAAACGATCCAAGGACCCTAAACACTTTAAGCGCATTGAATGCCATACACACCCCAAGCGCCCGCAGCCCAAACACCCTAAATACCCCGAGCGCCCCAACCACCCCAAACACGCCCTCAACGCCCTCAACGCCCCAACTCAAGCCCTGTAAGCCTTCAGCCCTATACCCTGAACCCTAAAGCCCTGCAAACCCTCAGCCCTAAACCCCAGCCCTAAACCCTAAACCCTCAGCCCTAAACATCATGTCAAAGGCTGGGCCGGGAACTTGCTCATCACTGTCCAGCATCTGGGCCTGGTTGGCAGCTGCAGTTTAGGGTTTAGGGTTTAGGGTTTAGGGTTTAGGATTTAGGGTTTAGGGTTTAGGGTTAAGCCCTTGAACCCTCACCCAAAGCCTAAACCGATGTCAGCCAACGAGGCGCGGATTTCCTTCCGACCTGTTCCCAGCTCTGCTTGCAGGTGGGCCACTTGCTGCCAATTCGCCCTCAAAAGGTTTAGGGGCAGGTTTAGGGTTCAGGGGTCAGGGCGGTGAGGCCAGGGTGCTTGGTTTAAAGCGCTTTGTCTTGAAGCAGCCCTAGATTTGTTTACTTCTTGCTCATGTGTGCCGCACTTAGTACTCGCGGCTTCGCGCGAGCTGCATCTCAGCAGAGAGCAGCTCGCTCGGGTTCTTCTTTGATGTTATGGGTCCTATAAGCTTAGGCCAAAATTGGGCCATTCACCCCCCCGGTGTAGCGCCGGCCACGATGGCAAAGCTGACACTCTCTGGGCAAAGTACCCTTTAGCTTCGGGCACCTTGTTCGTCCCCTCTTCCCGAAGTAGACGTGGCCACCAGAATACCGGAAAACGCATGATTTCGCCCCCCCTGGACCCTGAACCGTATGTGACAACCCATGCCTGGTCGCCTCACCTAGAAAACCCTCCAACCTGTGCCCTGTGCAGCTGATGCGGAAGTCTCCTATGTCACCAAGAGCACGGAGGAAACTCGCATCCCGCTCTCTCAGTTCAAGCCTGGGGTCACTTTGGCAGCATTTGGTGTCAGCCCACTTGTGCCTTTCAGAGAAGTCTCTGGTAGGATCTTGCCCGTCCTCCATGGCACAAGCGTGAACATGACCCCCTCAAAAAAACTTCAGCCCTAAGCCCTGAAGCCCTGAACCACAGCAGGGATGTATTATTGGTATGAGCAACCCAGGCTGTTCCCTTCAATGCCCTGTGGCGCGGCTGCACTGGAAGCACGTCCCCAGAGCCCTAAGCCCACGCCCAACCCGGAAAAACCTGGCGAATCCTAGACCCTCACGCTGAACTGAGAGTTCGAAACTCCCACAGAACGTTGAGCCCCCGTCCAGGCCTCAAGCCTGAGCCCTCAACCGGTCCTAGTGCCCCAAACCCCTCGATCCGCAGACCCACGAATTTGAGCTTGCCTTAAGAAGCCGAGGCTGACAAAGCTCCACATACCCAACCTCCAGGGCTCCTTCTACAAGCGCCCTGGAGAGTCAGGGTTTATAGGGTTTATAGGGTTTATAGGGTTTATAGGGTTTATAGGGTTTATAGGGTTTATAGGGTTTATAGGGTTTATAGGGTTTATAGGGTTTATAGGGTTTATAGGGTTTATAGGGTTTATAGGGTTTATAGGGTTGATAGGGTTGACAGGGTTGATAGGGTTTATGGGGTTTATGGGGTTTATGGGGTTTCGGTTTAGGGTTTGCTGCAACATGGCGCAGATTCTGTGGAGGTTGGGGGCAGCTCGGGCCCGATTGCGGAGGGCCATGTAACACCATTCTCCCACCCCACGCCGTCAAAGGCGGCAACGCCACCCAGACCTGCTCGTTGTAGGGTTTAGGCTTAAACTCATGTCAACTGCCTACTTACAAAAAACTTGTTCCGGTAGTTTGTTGAGGGCTTCCTTCAAAAAGTTGTAGTCAGCGGTTCGGGGTCCCAGGAAAGGTTCCAGGAGGTCCCAGAGGTTTGCAGGGGGATCCCAAACAAAAGTCCCAGGCCGGGTCCCGGAGAGGTCCCAAAGGGCAGAAGCGGCGGGCACCCCTTCCAACTGGCAACTCTGCGGCGAATGCCAGCGCAATGCAGCGTCATGACCTAGCACTGGTCCCGAGCAGAACGGGCTCCGGACGTGGTTGCTACCTCGCGGGCGCACGACCTGGGTCGGCTTTCGCCATCGAGGTCAAGGGGATGTCAAGATCTGTGACCCCAATCCCTATACCCTTCATCCCCGTCAACCCCTCCTCCTCCAGCCCAAAGCAGTTGCACAGCAGCACCTGGGCATGCAACCTGAGCCTGTCGGCTCAGGTACTTCCGGGTGGGTCAGCGAAAGTGGTTGTCGCACTGCTTTGCGGGCGGAGGCAAGGACTAGGGTGGGATGCTTTTGTTGTGAAATTCGAGCTGTCAGCATGTTGCCAAACCCCCAGAAAAGCCCCTACGGCCCTACACCAACCAGTCCCTTCACTTGAGTTTGGTGCCGTTGTGTCTGCAGCCTGGAGCCTGGGGTCAAGGCATCATTGCAGGTTCGTGGCCGAGCCAATGGACTATCGCCGGGTTTCGCCGCAGTTCAGGCCCTATGCCTGCCTGATGCAAATTGCATTGGCAGCAAGCCTGATGCTTTATGCAGTCTATCGTGTCAGGCAGATTATGTTACATGCCGAGCATCCGCCGATGGAAAGCAGCGTTAGGCACTTCAGGAATGCTGGCATGTGGAGGCTCTGTCCATATCATGAGTACTACGGTCCGGAGCCGATAGGACTGGACGGAATTGGTTTAGCACTTCCCAATGACCTTGATCTGAATCCTGACGTGCGTGAGCAGTGGAACCACAGCGCTGAGCGAGCTGCCTTGCAGACTTTAGATGAAGTGACAACAGATTTTTGGGGGCGACCCCCTTTGAGCATTAAATGCGCGGTCATCAACTTGGAGCGCGGGAGCTTACCAAAGCCACCCACCACTTTCAATATCTGCTTTGACTCCCCGCAGCACCCGAAGCTGCAAGTTTCAAGTGGGGGGGGGGGGGTGGAGAGCTCATGGTATGAAACAGTCGGCTTTCACCCATTTCAACAATCAGCATTGAGCGTCCTGGTATCCAAGCAGGGACATGGATATAACAATGGTTTTTCTCCCGCGTACTACGAGAGCTGGAACTTCGTCCAGCAAAACTTGTGGAGAGATCCGACCAGAAACTTTACTGGATATTGTCCATCCTGGAAGCGGATGCGGCCCTCCAGCGGCAAAGAGTCTGTGGTTCTGATCCACATTCACGATCCCAGCTTTAGTGTAGCAATCGCTCAGGGTGTGCTGCCGCAGGTTCTAACCTTGCTTGGCAACCTTGGTGGATACCTTTCGCTAATGTCAGCCTTGTTTTTTGCAGTTTGGGTGCGGCGCCACCCCCACAGTGAAGTTGCAAATACTTTTGAAGAACGCACCCTGATTGGCTTCGCAGAGAATGGGCAGGATGGAGAACAAGGGCTGAGAGCGAACGCCGACACCCATTCACCAGGTGTAAGTGAACTGCCTCGTAGTTGCTTAGGAGTGTCACAAGATCTCGGGCAAATGCCAGAATACCCTGAGCGCCCTCCAGGTATTGTGCTTCCCACTGGTTACAGAGCATCGGAGTAGGCACGTGTCAAAGGCACTGCCCTTGTGAATAGTCCGCTGTCTCACCGCCGCCGGCGAAAAATACCCCAAGCTTTACATACAGTCATCCTTAAGTACGTAGATGGAACATGCGAAACCTATTATCTGTGGACGTTTTTGTATTCTATCCACTTCAGGATGAGTGCGAACGACACACTCAAATTTTACTTGTATGGCCTTAACCTTAGACAGTGCAGAGCCGAGCCTGTGAGTTGGGGGTATGGTATATAGCAACAACGGTGGATCCGTTTCTTCTTGTTGGGGGAAAGTGGACTAAGATCTTATGTAGGCACCCTTTCAGATTCAATCCTTCTTGAGTGAAGGTGGGAACCATAAAGAATGCAGAGGAGCCATCTTGAGCGCGGCTTTGGGGGCTACTTGGGGGCCTCAATTCCAAGTGTTATGGTTCAGCGCGTCAGGGTTACAACAGCCCACGCACGAGCGCAGGCTTCCGTGTGGTTCTGGACAGCGCCAAGAAAGTGACGGAAGCTCGCGTGTGACCCTCGAGGGGAGGGTTTTGAGATCTTTTGCGGGTTACCGGCTTCCTGGTTAGGGTTTAGGGTTTAGGGTTGACGGTTCAGGGTTTCGGAGCTTTGAGGGGATTTAGGGGTGGACTGGGGGACCTCAGCCGTGGGCTTCAGGGGCGTTGTAGGGTTTTTCCGGCTGAGGATTTTGCCGTTGATTCTTTGGGGTGGCTTTGACGGCCTTGAGGGCTTCATGGGGGTTGAGGATGTGTTGGCACTTTAGGATGTTTCGGTGCAGGGGTAAGGGTTTAGGGCAATCAGTCAACATTGAACCAGAGCCCTTTGCATCGAAACTCCAATGCATGTAAGCCCTACCCCTACCAAACCGTTCACAAATCCACAAATCTGGGAAAAAGCAGTTGCAGAAGCTGTACATGCTGTCAGCCACTGCATGCTTGCATGCAGAACCCCCTTTACGGATAGCTTCTTCGTAAGACTCGCATTACCCTCCTCCAACCCCAAACCGCCTAACCCTTAAACCACGAGAGGTTTAGGGTTCAAAACCTTAAGCCCTAAACCCTAAACCCCAAACCCCAAACCCAAAACCCTGAACCCGAAGCCTCCGCAGGTCTGCATGGGCTCCTTGGCCTTGTGAGCTGACCAGATGGGCCTAGGCTAAAATGCCCTGGATCCCAAACCCCTAAACCCCAAACCCAAACCCCAAACCAAAAGACCCCAAAACCCTAAACCCTAAACCCCCAGCCCTAAAACCCTAAACCCCAAACCCTAAACCCAAGCGGGCAGAGCCGAGGCTATTGGGCTGCCACGCCATCGCGCAGGGTCCTCAACTGCGAACCTAAGCCTTCGATTCTCTAAACCCTAAACCCTGAACCCTGAACCCCGGTTCCTGAACCTTCAGCCCTAAACCCTAAACCGAAGCAACCTCCCTGCCATACCCGGGCACTCTGAAAGCAGCCGTCCTCTTGGCTTTTATGCGCCTACACTGCCAGGCACACTGCGCGTGCATCTAGAAAACTGTGACACCCTAAGACTCTAACTCGAAAAGTCATTTACAGCATGGACCCACTCAGGGCCGGAGCAACTAGCATAGAGGGTTGACCATTTACCATGCCTGTCTTGCGTTTCTTGCCGGGCAACCCTAAAACCCTAGACCCGAGAAGTCCTAGAGGCCTAAGAAACCCCTAAACCCTAAACCCTAAACCCAAAACCCTAAAACCCTGAAACCCTAAAGCCCTTAAACCTCCCTTGCACGCCCCTCATTGGTTTCCGATTCCGTGCCAGACTACCCGGCTGTCCACTTCTTTGTCCTACTTCGACCCTCAAACCCCACGCCAAGAAAGGGTTTAGGGTTTAGGGTTTAGGGTTTAAGGTTTAAGGTTTAGGGTTTGGGGTTTAGGGTTTAGGGTTTAGGGTTTAAGGTCTAGGGTTTAATGCAAAGGGTTTAAGGGTCCCAGCACCCAAATAAAAGAAGAACCCATATCCGAGCCATGTCTGCAAGGTTCCTACCAGGCCGAGTCCGCCCTGGTTGGTGCCACCCTGGACTGTTTTGCGGGGGTAGTTCAGAGGTTCTTGCAGATGACATGTCGGAAGTCTCCGAACTTGAAATTGATGGACAGCCAGAGAGCAAGGGAGCAAATAGGACTCGAAGTCTTGAATCCTATAAGGTAAGACCCAGGAAGTGGTAGTTGGGCTCTGTTTCTGCAGTCAGCTTAGCTGCCGGGTCACTGCCTCCCATCACGCCCTGAACCCAAAAAGCTTCTGGGCCCTCAGCTTTAGTCCCTGAACGCCAGGTTTTCTGGCGCCAAATCCCAAGCGCAAACCCCGTGCAAGCCGGAAACAACCCTCAACGCAGGATACGGAGACCCTCCAAAAAGCGATCGCTGCGTTGCCTCCCGGACCATCATGGAGAGGTTTGGGTTAGGGTAGGAGCATGATCCCTGCTTCCGTCATTCCAAGCTTATCTCGCTCTTCCTGCATCACCCTCTCAGAGAGTCCAGCCACGCTGCATAGACATTGTACTAAACCCTAAACCCTAAACCCTAAACCCTAAACCCTAAACCCTAAACCCTAAACCCTGCTCCAAGGCACCAGGAACTCGAGTTTGCCGGGGAGGCCCAGTTTCAGACCATCGACAACCCGGAGGGCAAGGAGATCCTGGTAGTGCAAGACTTGGCCCGATCTCAGGGTAGCTATATGGGCCCTTAACCTGGTCCCTTACCTCCCTTAAAGGGTTCTGAAGTATGTGCCCTTGGGTTGTAAAGGGTATATATGGGGTATATGGGGGGTCCTAAGGGACCATGTAACTATCCTAAGAATGCTTGCGGGCACGATGCTCTGCTGTGAGCAGGATGCCTATCGCCGCCAGCTACCGGACAGCTATGTCTTCAAGTTTTTCAAAGAGGCGCAACGCGCAGTTAGCACATAGACTCTCAAGTTCTCTGAACGATAACCTGTTTTCATGCTTCATATGTTGACAAGACTATGTATGTGTGTATATATATATATATGTATATGATATATATATATATAGATATCATATATATATATATAGACACATACGCACACACACATATGTATCAGACTTCCCATATCCGAGAGTTGTAGGGGGGGATCGCAGGAACCCTTGAGGGGACCGTGCTTTTCAGAGCTGACTGCCCCCTGTCGACGAGGCGCAGGCCTTCTTTGGCATCAAGCAGTGGCCGGCGGAGGAGTTGGGAAGCCTTGCGTTGAAGCCTCTGAAAGCAGGACTCCTCCCAGTGTGTCGTGGGCGTAGGTACGCCTTTGTCCCCGGCTAGTTACCTCTGGTTTTTGGGGGGTGGGGGGGGGGGTTCTATCTCATGTTTTCTCGATCGTGACCTAATGATTTGTTGGGTTGGGGTTCCTGGCAAGGCCTGCTAGGGTTTAGGAGCTTAGGGTTATGGGTTGGGGGTTGTAGATCTTGGTTTCTTTCATTTAAGGGTTCAGGGCTTGAGGGTTTGAGGGCTTAGGGGTCCCGAGCTTCGCTGTTTCGAGTTCAATTCTTGCCTTGCTTTAAGGTCCCATGGGGCTCCATTTGCCCATTATTCTGGGGACTCGCTTGAAACGGATTGCGGCCAGGACAGCTCACCTTCCAGGCAGGGCAGTGCAGGCTGAAGCCCAGCCCCAGCCCAAAGCTTTCTGAGCCCCGAAAACCGACGAGTGTTTTTTGGGTTCATAGGTGTAGGGTTTAGAGTTTAGAGTTTAGGGCTAGTTTAGGGTTTAGGGCTTAGGGCTTAGGGCTTAGTAAGGTTTAGGGTTGAATACTCAACCCTAAACCCCTGAATTCAGAAGCAGCCGCTGCTGCTCGAAGAGGCCGTGCTGAACGGGCGAAGCCTTGAAACCCTAATCTCTGGGGCTCCATTGAGGGTTCGGAGTTCAGCGTTGAGGTCTCAGCATTTAAACGCTAAACCCCAAACCCTAAACCCTCACCCCTAAACCCTAAACTTTTCAGGAACAGCCTGGTCTGGACAACAAGCCCCAGCTTTCTGCCATGGGGATGACCACCGGCTCGGATGCTTTGGCAGCATTGTCGACGAGGTTTAGGGCTTTGGGGGGCTAAACCCTAGATCCTAAACCCTAAACCCTAAACCTTAAACCCAAAACCCAAAACCCTAAACCCTAAACCCTAAACCCTAAACCCTAAACCCTAAACCCTAAACGCCCAAACGCCAAAAACCTAAGCCAGGTTTGTGTTCGAGTTGACTGGGTGTGAGTTTAGCATTCAAGGTGTTGAAGTTTTGGGCTCTGGGGTTGGGTTGAGGGTTGAGGGCTCAGGGGGGTTAGATTTGAGCCATTGTTGGTTTCCACTCAAATGGGGCATGATCAGTTGAGGGCTTTGGGGCTTGT